CTTATTAGATGGTCCTAGTTTACACTATTATAATTAATTATATAGTAATATATAGAGTTTCAAAAGGATGTCTGTTCTATGAGAATCTTTGTGTGACATGAGGCTGGACGAGGTACGCCTAGTTAGCAGACGTCCAGATATAAGTGTCCTGGCGTACCACCCGGTTCAACATGCACCCCATTGGACCATTCGATACGTCCGGCCCGAATCAACCTCGTCTCCACTTGCACACTTGCACGCACGGTCATCTAGCTTCGCAATTAAATGCCTCTGCAAAATATACTGTTGATGAAAATTTAACAGAAAGAGAGAATTCATATTATCATTTTCTTTTCCAAACTATGGTGGACGAGAACGAACACGTCCTTGTGAGAGGAGTCTTGTGCGATGTTGAAAACTTTGCCCCCCCTCGGCAACTTAAACGCGGGGAGCTGCAACTGGACTGACCTCTAGGAAAACAATTCTGGCCAATCCAACCAACGCAGCAGCTAAAACCTCCTAGTCTACAAACTCGAAAAAAGAGAGAAAAAAAAAAAATACAGACCCTTGTCGAAAGAGTTTGATGATGCAAAGTTAGTGTGTTCTTCCGCTTTTCAATCCATGACGCAATTCGCTGGAGCAAAGCCGATCCTGGAGCGCTCGAGGTCGTGCTCGATCAAGTAATCCTGCTGCTGGTAGTTTCCAATCACGTTAACTCCGCCCTGCGCGACCGCCCCGGCATTCACGAACGCCAGGCAGATGGTCACCACTTGCGGCGTCCTGGCCAAAGGTACCCACACACTCGCTTCTCGGAGCTCCATGTCTACGTTGTTCTTGAAGTGGAGCGTGACGAGCGGAGCCCTTGGTAGCCTCGAGTAACCGGCAGCTACGTCGTAGCACAGCTCGTTTGTAAAATCACTTCCGCTCGTTCGATTGAGGTGTAAGACCCGGCGTCCAAACGCTTCCACCAGTGCTGTGTGAGCCGGCTCCACCAGGAAAGACACCGTCGTTCCAGAGTCGAAATAAGTTCCACCGTTCCCGAGCCTGTCGATCTTGAATGCCGAGCGTGGGATGTGGAGCAGCTCCCCCCCGACACTTATTCCTTGCAAGCCGACGTAGTAGAAGTCGACGATACTCGCAATTGGAGGCTCCTGCTCCAGAGATAGATACTGGAAGTGGTGCGCTGGAATTCCCGAGTCCCCGAAAATTATAACTCCGGACGCGTTGAGATGCTCTGCTCGGTTCGGGAAGCAGTAGGAGAACCTGTCCGATAGCCCGCTCTTACTCCGGCTCCCAATCTGAGCGGGAAACGAGAAACTCCCCCGGTTGAGTCCCAGAGTTCCCGACGAATAGTCTACCGGACGCTGGAGGTCTTTGCTTGCGCAGCCGAATATCACATCCCCCAGCGTCGACGGCGCTCCATCCCAGCTCTGCA